CCGGGAACTGCTGGCAGTGCGGCTGGCTTTGGGGGAGTGGCGTCATTGGCTGGAGGGGGCAGCTGAACCTTTTGTGGTATGGACCGACCACAGGAATCTGGAGTATATTCAGACAGCCAAGAGGCTGAACTCCCGACAGGCTCGCTGGGCATTGTTCTTTGGGCGCTTTAATTTTACTCTTTCTTACAGACCTGGTTCTAAGAATGGTAAACCAGATGCCTTGTTACGATGCTTTGGCACTCCGTATGGCAATCCCCACCCTGATACCATTTTGCCCAGGGGCCATGTGGTGGGGGCTGTTATCTGGGGTGTAGGGCCTTGTCAGGCGAGCCTTAGCCAAAGTCCAGGTGCCCAAGGGATGTCCGGTGGGTCTGTTGTATGTTCCTGTGTCGGCCCGAGCAGCTGTCCTTCGGTGGGGTCATTCCTCCAGGTTCGCTTGCCATCCAGGCATAAGGAGGTCGCTGGCTGCCGTTCGTCAGCGCTTTTGGTGGCCAGCTATGGTGGAGGACATCCGCCGGTTTGTGGGTGCATGCTCGGTCTGTGCTCAAAATAAATCCTCTAATTCTCGTCCCGTTGGTCTGCTTCATCCTCTCCCCATTCCCTCCCGCCCCTGGTCACATATTGCCATGGATTTTGTCACTGGTCTCCCTCCATCCGATGGCAATACTGTGATCCTCACTGTGGTGGACCGCTTTTCCAAGGCGGTCCACTTCATTCCCCTCCCCAAACTTCCATCTGCTAGGGAGATGGCCCGGGTGGTCGTGGACCATGTCTTCCGGATTCATGGTCTTCCGGAGGATGTGGTCTCTGACAGGGGGCCCCAGTTCATTTCCCACTTTTGGAGGGAGTTCTGCCGACAGATTGGTTCTACTGCTAGTCTGTCGTCAGGATTCCATCCACAGACCAACGGCCAGACTGAGCGTGCAAACCAGGATCTTGGGCGGATGCTCCGATGCCTGGCTTCCCATAACCCCTCTTCCTGGAGTCAGCAGTTGGTGTGGGCAGAATATGCTCACAACTCATTGCCGGTGTCGTCGACTGGGCTGTCTCCTTTCATGTGTTGTCTTGGTTACCAACCCCCTGTGTTTCCTTCCCAGGTGGCCGATGCTGCCGTTCCCTCGGTCCAAGCATTTATTCAACGCTGCCGCCGCACCTGGAAAAGGGCCAGGCAGGCACTGTTGCGGACCAGGGAACGCACCAAGAGAACTGCTGACCGCCACCGAGCTGATGCACCCAAATATGTCTGTGGTCAAAAGGTGTGGCTCTCCACTAAGGACCTGCCACTTCGGGTCCCTGCTCGTAAATTGGCACCCCGATTCATTGGACCATGCCTCATTACCAAGGTGATCAGTCCGGTGGCGGTGCGGCTTCGGCTACCCCGGAGTCTACGCCGTGTCCACCCTGTTTTCCATGTTTCTTGTGTCAAACCTGTCTTGCGTTCTCCCCACTCCCCCCTTTCTTCTACACCCTCTCCTCCTCCTCCCCTGATGGTTGAAGGCTCTCCAGCCTTCACCGTCAGAAAGATTCTTAATTCAAGGAGGCGAGGTAGAGGTTTTCAACATCTAGTAGATTGGGAGGGGTACGGCCCAGAAGAGAGATGTTGGGTCCCAGCTCGGGACATTCTGGACCATGCGCTCATTGAGGAATTCCACCATCGGCAGTTGCCTCAAATCTCGGGTACGCCGGGAGGCGTTCCTGGGGAGAGGGGTACTGTCAGAACCCGGGTTTGAACTTTGCCCTCTTTCTTTTCTGACAGCGTTTTCTATCTTTCCTTACTGACAACATTCTAATTTGTCTCCAAATTGCTGTGTAACTTTACTCAGCTGATCGTCTTTTACAATTAGTAGCCTCACATGTTACTGCCAGCTGCCTTTCATTTCTGCTAATTGCTGCTCCTATATCTGAGGGTGTTTCGCTTCTCCTTTTGTCAGAGTGTTGGATTTCTTACAGCCTTCTTGTCGGTCTGTTGTATTATCATTGTGTTCTCTGTCCAGTTCCCTGGATCCATCCCGGATTTGGTCTGCCCTACTGGAGAGCTGATCTTTTGCGTTGCCATTGCCCTTCTCCTGCATTACCAGGCCTGGACCAAAAACTAACTTTATTTTTTGATTGAAATTTAGCCCACTCCTGATTTTTCTTTTTCATGTGGTGCTACTAATTTTTGTTGGTATTTTTCCTGTACTGTTGAACATTGCCTGTGGTCCAGTTTTCAGTTTATTTTTTACTAAAGTTCAAGATCTGCTCTGGGATCTCAGCAAGCGCTGAGTCACTTTCTTTTTGCTTACTTTATTAAAAAACCCTATTGAATTGAACTCCTCTGCTTTTGGGTCCTTTATACAGACACACCTGACACAAACACTGTGGATCATCGAAGCAAACATATATGACTTGTGCTGTGCGTGGACGCAGTTTTACCTATTCATTGGGTTCTACAGCTTGCTAGGTGTGCCTTGCCTTTGGAAAGCATGTGCTCCCATAAATAATGAAGGCGCAGGCTCTTCTCATAGGATAAGAAAATTCAGCTATGAATAATAATGAGAAACCGACGCATCATCACTCCACTAGAAGATGCGTGCTACATCATGCCCGCCCCAAAAATAATTTTAAACCTGGAAGATGAAATTAGCGGACGAAAGCTCAAAATTATCCAGTTTTCCCCACAATTAAAGCTGACAGGTGCTAATGTTGTCTTAAATGATGCTCAACACACAGAAATATGTAAAATTTTAAAATGTACTCCAGGGTGTCTTAAACCTTTAACATGGCCTCTTGCCAAAAAAATAAAACACTCTCTTCAATTCTCTCAGCCACTGTCAGTTCAAAAGACTGCAGCTCTGATTCTGAACACTACAGTATATACACTACAAATAGATGTCAACAACTCTTTTTCCCAACTGGGAGTTCACAAGTTCAGCCAACTGAGCAAACACTTTTGACTTTGGAGCAAATGAAAACATTAAACATAATGCAAATTGCGCATTGTCCCTTAGCATATTAGGCATTCAATCGCAGTTATGTCTGATTTCAAAAACCCAGATGGTGCCAAACAATAGTCGTTTGCAGTCTTTGTATGGCGGAATTAAATTATCTTGAAAGCTCCAGAAGTAGGATTGAATTGTACAAGCCTAATTGAGATGACATTTATTATTCACTGAACATAAAACATGCAGTACCACACAAATACCCATGATGGCTTCAGCACATTTTAGTAATTCAGTACCTAATTGTAAGTATACACTGCCTTTACGAAATTGTTCTCATTTATTTAAATTAGGAGGATATTTACAAAATCATTACAGATACCTCGTTTTGCGCCCACTTTACACCACAGTTCTGACGTGCTCTACTCTCATTAGTAACTCAATAAACATTCATGAAAAAGTGACTTTTACCAAGTAATCCTCCTAAACATTCATCACATGAAAAAAGACCACACCGGTTCCACTTTTACCTTTAATTACAACTTTTATTGATTTCTTTTCATATTGGAAAGTATCAATTCCTCTGAGCTCTTTTAATTTAGTAGCAGTGCATTCTGGGCTTGGCTTCTCTGAAGAACACATGCGACTGAAAAAAAATCCATTATTTCACATTTTCTTACTGTAAAATAACAGATGTTAAATTACAGAAATTTACTGTAAAATAAAAGATGTTAAATTACAGAAATTTACTGTAAAACAAAAGATGTTAAATTACAGAAATTTACTGTAAAACAAAAGATGTTAAATTACAGAAATTTACCGGAAATTAAAATTTAAGGAAATTTCTGCAATTTAACTGTCATTATTTTACAGCAAATTTCTGTAATTTAATGGCCATTATTTTACATTATTTTACATAAAATAACTGATTTTTTTTTTATGCCAAGTTCACACTGCCTGATTTTCCAAATCATCAATCAGAATGATTATCTGGGGTAGCATTCAGTTGCTGTTGTGTTCACATTGCCGAAGAATTGACTAGAGGAGTTTTTTGGTGCAAGACTGTAAATATTCCATTGTAGTACATATCAGACAAAACATCTAAAAGACATGTATCAGGGGTGTCCAAACTCAAAGTCGGGGGTGTCCTGGAGAGTTTAGCTCCAACCCTAATCAAACACACTTGAACTACCTAATCCCTTACTATATATCACTAGAAACTTCCTAGCAGGTGTGTTCAAGCAAGTTGGGGCAAAACTCAGCAGGACAGCGGCTCTCTAGGACTGAGTTTGGACACCCCTGACATAGATGATTATGGTAAAGTTTTCCCAAATTCCTCCATTTCTTAGGTCCAAATAGGTTGAGAAGGAACTTTTCTCAGAACCAAAGCCATGTTTTCTGATATTGTAGTCTAAAACTCCTCCCCACAGTCCTCACTACCCTGTTTTATTGGCTGTGGGACATCACTGATGTGTTTTGCCAGTCAGAACACCTTTCACACAGCAGAATTTTGAATCACTGACGGGTCCTGATTGTCACTCATGAATGAGAACCGATTTAACTCTGATTTGAGGCATTTGTCCTCAATTCTGTCATGAACGCTCTCGAGATTGAATATGTACAGTATATGGCAATGTTGATGTATTTGGTCTTGGTATAGATCTGCTACGCTGCTGTTGCAAACTTAATATACATGTAACCCCCGTAGCAGATCTAAACACAGGTAGAGCTGGGGTTGAGGAGGGTCTTTGAAAATGCACCACAGCTTAAAAAGCGTAGAATGGCAGAGTTTTTAAACTGATGAGGTGCAAGCTCATTGGCTGCCAAGGTGACAGCAGCCAATCTCCTGTGCCATGTAGGAGCAGATTAGGTGACCTATCAGCCTGCAAGCGCATAGGGTTTCATGCCAGGAATTTCACTTTCACAAAACCTGTTAGCGAATGGAAATCAGGGCTAAAAATGTCCAGTAAGAACTCGGCATTAGATTTTGGCCAAGGCATCAGAATCTCACTGATCAGAGACATTGTCCATCTTAAAATGCACACTGTAAAAAATTATCAGAAAATTAGCAGTTTTTCCTATTTTGTGATTTATTTTTTCATATTATGTGATCCATTTATTTATGCTTTTGAATTGCATGGATCCTTGATCTTTCTTCCAACAACTTTTAACCTTGAAACGATTAAAAAGGTGACTTTTATTTTTAAACTACTTTTTATGTTAAACTACTAAACTTTCAATTAAAGTCACCCTTTTAAACAGTATAAGTTGAATTTTCAACATCAAAAGCAGAGAAAGCAGAGATCAAGGTCCCATAATGCAATTCACAACCACAAATAAATGAAGAACATTTGTGAATCACAAAATATGATTGTTACTAAACAGATAGACAGCTTACTAGACTTTAAAGAGCATTTTGTGTCTTACCAAAATGTCTGATTCTGGACACACTTTTTAAATACAATAATCAATTTACATTTAATTTCTCCATTCTTTTTTTTTTTTTTTGGGGGGGGGGGGGTGATGTCATTAATATTGTAAATACTATTGGCATGTTCATTGTTCTATTTTTTTTTAAATCAACAAAATAACAGCAATCATGTCTGCCATCAAAAATATCATCATTTGGCACAAGCACGATTATAAATGTGTTGAGGTTTACAGGTGACAAAGTGACTGAGTACAGTGTTCACATCACAGTCAAACACAGAATAAAACAGTGTTCTTCCTTTTGTTTGGTGTTTATCCATCCAAGGTGATGTGTATCCGTCATCGCAATAATGACTTGCATTTGTTTTGAAGATCCTTTTTACTGAAAAAATGCTGGCATGACAAAATATTTAGTTGAAAACTAGCTAAAAGAAACTGTGTTAGGTTTTGTCCATATAAAGGATTTTTCAGTTAACACCATGGCAGTGTTCAGTAAAAGTGTTTCAACTCATTGAGTTTGTGAAATCACCTTCTCTATTGTTTGCTGCAGGTGGAAGTTGTTGGATTTATACGATTCCCTCGCTGCGTTTACTCCTCCACACCACCAGAGCAGTCATGAGCAGCGTCACCAGAATGGGCACCACGATAAAAGGCCCCAGGATCCGATTGGGCGGGTCGTGAAGCAGCCGTCCAGACAGTGAGCAGTCATGGAAGTAATGCCTGTGCACCCGGATGAAGAACTCGTCCACCATGCGGTTGGGCCAGAAACAGTTCATCTTTAGAGCCACCAGGAACGTGCAGTTGGTCAGTTCCCCATACGACCTTTAGGAGGACAAATTATAGAATAATGTCAAGAGCACATCTAAATGAGCAATGATAAAGATGCATTTAATGTCATTCAAATATCAAAGTAAAATAGATATCAAAGTACTTTTACTTTTTACTACTCTCAGAAAAATAAATTACGATAAAGCTT